TAAAGTATTTATTTACTTGAATAATAAGCGATTCCAATTATCGTATCACTTGGAAAGATAAAAATAGAATATTAAAAGTATTTTCTGTAACTGTATAATGAAAATGAATGCTTACATACCTTTCAAACTGATATTATTAAAAATATTATGTTATCAGTACTGTAAATTTGAGCGTGATAGAAACTTGTACCAAAACATGATAAAGCATGGGATAGTTTTGGTGGTTATGTATAATGTGAAGAGGCTGAACAAGGTGGGGTCCGACGATGTCAAATCAATCACATGGTGAAACCATGTCGTGTTTGGACCGACCCATTTCAAATTTCGTTTTCAATTACAAGAAGAAAGATCTTTTATTAATTGGACTTAGTGTGTCGGGGCATTCAATTCGATAGAAACCAAACATTACATGGCCACACAAAATTGTGTTTCCTCCCTCTGAGTCTCCGTTGATCGCAGTACTTCTACACCTCCTGTGTAAGAATGAGGACCCTCTCTGGACCTTATTGGAAAGATCCTGAAATCTTTAAATTATGTTCGTTTATCATATATTGTACTATTAGTCAGTCAGGTATTATTTATATTTAATTTTAAATAAAAGTATTTAAAATGATTTCTGACCGCACAATGTACGATGAACGGACACGATTTGAGGATTCTAATAGTACGGTGTTATTTATATTTAATTTTAAATAAAAGTATTTAAAATAATTTCTGCCGCATAATGTACTATGAACATACACGATTTGAGGATTCCCAGAATCCTCACAAAAAGAATTCGGAGAGGATCCTCATTCCCTGTATAATATCGTTTGGGATTTCAAATATTTTAACTATTAAATTTGCTTGAAAATATAAAAAATTACAATCTAAATGATTAATATAATATGATTCAGTATTTCGAGTAATTTAACTATTAGATTTGTTTAAAAGTATAAGAGTATAAGAATTTAAATTTAACGGTTGAAATATTTAAACTAACCGATACTTCGGAGCAGTACTCATTGTTAAAGGGTAAATGTGACATACTAACGTTTAATTTGGATTGTTAAAGATATAGAACTTGTTTGGATGTGCTTTTAAAATGACTGAAAGAGCTTTTGGTGAAAATATTTTTGAAAACAATCCTTAGTAAAAATGCTAGTAGATCCTGGAAAAGCATTTTACTTAAAATGCTTTCTAGAAGACGCACATAACTGGTATTTTTTGTAGAAAGCACTTAAAGTGTTTTTTAAATCTAAAAATATTTTCTCTGAAAGTATTTTCAATCATTTTAAAAGTATATCCAAATGAGCTCATAGTTATTCGAGGACTTCTTGATCATAACTTGAATTCTCTCGAAATCCTTTGAGCAAAGCTCAAATCCTACTCGAAACCCTTCAAGCATTAAATGCTCAAATCCCTCCCAAAACTCTTTCTTATTTTCCTTTTATCGATCAAAGAATAGAGAAAGAAGAGTTTCGAAACAAGGTGCAATGAGTATTTATGCAAAAGACCCAACCACCCTCTCGAAAATTCATTTAATTGCTATATTTGATGTGAGACATTTGAGCCTTAGGGCTGGTCTGGTATTGCTATTCTTTAAAAAAAACTGTTTCTGCTGTGCTGTGAGAATAAACTCAATTTTGCTGTTTCACGTTTTTTTTTTTTTTTTTTTTTTTTTACAAAAACTATGAAAATAAACTGTTTTTAAGTGTTTGTCAAACATCTTTTTAATATTAACTTTTTTTATATCTATTTTTTGTAAAAGCACAGTCAGTACCAAACTAGTACTTAGATTCATTACTTGATAGCATGATGAAGATTGAAGACCAATGATGCACTATTTTGGCGATGACTGTGAGAGTGTCCATATAATACATTGCGTAACGTCAAATCCATCACTCTTTTATTTTGTCTTGGTGTTTGCCGTGTCCTTTTGACTGTGCATCCAGGACAAACCTTTGTTGAACATAATCATGATATACTAATTAGGTGGTTAATTAGCAGGTAAATTATGAGATGCGGTTTGACATATGATAGTCCATTTTTGTCTCATACGGTTGTATTTCAAATACATACGATATTATTTATATTAAGAAATGGATGAGTGAGATAAGTTCAAAGTTTATAATATCGATATGGAGAGAAATATTAATATGCAAATTTATGAAAATATTGATATCGGTTGCCTTTAATGAAATTATGAAAATTTGCAATGAAGTGAGTATATCAACTGACTCAAATTTGATTGGAATCAAATAAAAATTTCTCAAAAGAATCCAAAAGTTCTAAATTTGTAATGGGTTTTGGCAAAATTTCTGTACGAAATCAGTACATATCGTTGATATTCATTGATTTTCCTATATCTCTCCGATATATAGTGAAAGGACATTTTGACGGAAATATCGACAATTTCGTAGATAGTTAAACAATGTATAAGTCTCACAACGAGATAACCATAATAATTTGGTCAAATTTGGCTTTAGCGATAATCAAACCGATTACCTCTTATTTACAAGTAAAGATGAATATTACTAAACCGTAATACCAAATGATGTCTCATATAATTGTTAGATTAAATAATTTGAAAAAAATAAAATAAAATGTTAGGTAAACCATCAATTTGGTTCATTCAATGTTAATACTACTATGTTTAAATAGTTATTACTTGGTTACTCAAAGATGAGTATGAACTCCTACTCAAAATTTCTCAAAATTGTTTGTTGTGAATTCATAGAATTTCGTGTTTATAATCAAAACCATTCATATTATAAATCACCTTGTAAAGATTACCTCTACAAAAAATCAATTAAAACTAAGGTCGTTTAGTCATCAAACTGTTTAAAAACAAATGATGGAATTGGAAAAAGCATTACAAACCGTCTATGTATTTTCTACAATAGATTGACTAAATGAACTTAGTTTTATATTTTTTTTTGTAGAAACGATCTTTACAGTGTGATTCATAGTATAAACGGTTCTTATCATGAACATAAAACTCTATGATTAAAACACTAAAGGTTTTGAGTAGGAATTCCTACTCATATTTGAGTAACCTAGTGTTGTTCGTACAAAAATCCATCAATTTAAAGAAAATACTTAACTTATTTGTACATTGTATTTGTAGCCATTTTTATATCTGACCATTTTCCCTCCAAACAAATATAAAAAAGTGTAACGTGTTATATCTGTCCATTATCCTTCCAACCAAATAAAAAAAATGTGTAACGTGTTATATCTGTCCATTTTCCTTCCAACCTTAACAACCATCTACGTCATATGAAATATAAAAAAAGCGTAACGCGTTATATGCTTGTAGCATTCCTTCCAAACAAATTAGTTTACTTCAATAATCATGTCATTGTGTATATTTCATTACTAAATAACGTGTCGTACGTAAACGACAAGATGGATGAAAATACAGCTCTAGCAAGCTTGGAAAGTTTTGTTGGAGATGAGAGAATGGAGCCTAATAAACATGTTCAATCGAAAAGTCGAGATGTCATGCATTTGATCGCTTGAAACTTGCTTGCTTGAATGGTTAAAATGATAAGAGCATATCTGCTAACTAGTATTTAGATAGAAAAAATCGGTTTTAATCGTACTTGGGAAATAATTTAATCTCATAACTTTAAATATGAGTGAAAACTTTAAACTAGCTTCTTGGAGTCGAGAGTTTAGAGCCTAATAAACATTGTCTAATCAAAAAGCTTGAATGACAAGCATTTGTTCGCTTGAAACTCGCTTACTTGAATAGTTAAAATGATAAGAGTAGATCCGTTTTTAAAATAACAAGTATTTAAAGAAAAAAAAAATTATTTTTACGGGACTTTAGAAGTAATTTGATCTTAGGACTTTAAATATGAGTGAATGCTTTTAACTAGTTTTTTGGAGTCGAGAGTTTAGATCCTAATAAACATGTTTAATCAAAAAGTCGAAATAACATACGTTTGTTTGTTTGTTTGAAACTTGCTTACATGAATAGTTAAAATAACAAGAATAAATCAGCTTTCAAAATGACAAGTATTTATGTAGAAATAACTGTTTTTACTGTACTTGAGAGATAATTTAATCTTAAAACGTTACATACGAGTGAACGCTTTTAATCATCCAGATCCAATTCCCGTCATCTTGATAAGTAATATTCAAATCCATACTTTTCTAACAAATATGTATGACACGTGATGTGATTACATCTTAACATATTCTAAAACGAATCCAAAACAAGTAGCTAAACCGACAAGTACTGATGTACAACAACAAACAGTAAAAAACAACTCACTGTAAAAAACACGAAAACCGAAAAAAAGCCTTTATTGCCATTTGGTACTTTTAGTGGTATTTCTCTTCATTAAGAGATTTTACGACTTTCGCAATTTGAACTATACTATTACTATGTTGAGCTTAGTTGTTGTCTTTATTTTAATATAAATAATATCATTTGTTTAAAGAAAAAAAAAGAGAGCCTTTATTTGTCGGGATCAAATTTTTTGCATCCAAAATAAGTGTGATCTTTCTGTGGTTCCAATAAGTACTCAACACTTTAAATTTGGAATAAAACATAAAAAAATTACAATAATAAATACGTATCAGTCACTCATTAAGGCTACGGGACACCAATTTTGAATGAAGAAGATTTGGTCTTTTATTTGGAAAAAGATATGGAATCCGAAGATCTTGTAATCATGTATGTTCATCGTATATTGTGAAATCATAAATTATTAATTTAAAATTTAAAATTAACGATAAATGATATCTTGCGAAAATTGATAGTACAATGTACAATAAACGAATATAATTACAAGATCCTGAATCCCCAAAAAAAGAATCCGGCAAGTATCCCTTTCCCTTTTATTTACCCTCCTTCCCATATTTTTCACCCCAAAAATCCAAGAACCGCCCTAAAATTCAGAAAACGATTGTGATATGGACAATCCCAAGATAGTATTTCAAATTAATTTTCACATTTTTCGATGGACCCTACATATACGGTGGGACCGGGACCCACATTCCCTCAAAATAATCAGTGCAACCAGAGCGGAAAGAGAAGTCAGTGTTTTGTTTGTTAGCTCGCCATCAATCCTCTTCTCGCTTTCCCCTCTCTCTCGCCATCGCAGCACCTCCAAAGGTTTCTAGGGTTTGTAGCGCGCCATTTCCTCAGAGTTTTACTTTACTCGCCGAATCTTGCGCCAATGCGTCTGTTGAGGAAGCTCAATCAGGTATTGTTCTTCGCGTTTCTCCGATCTGGGTTTGCTTTTGAGCGTGTTCGTATCTCGAGATTTGAGCTTCTGGAGCTCTAAGAAGCTTGGCATTTTCATTTTATTTTACTTTTTCTTGAATTATTTTTTGGTTTTTTGTTGGGTTTGATTTGTTTGGTGGGATAAATTTGTTGGTGAATTTTTTTTTTCTTGGTGATGTGCAAAAAATGATTAAACTTTAGCTTGAAGAGAATTGAAAGATGGAAACTTGGTGTAGATTTCATGTAGTTTAATGATTTTTTTGTTTAAGTAGAGGAAAATGAAATTAGGGGAACAAAAAATGCATCATTTGCATTCCATTAAATTGATTGGAAATCTGTTTCGTGCCGGTTCTATGGTCGAAAGATATGACTTTTGTGTGATGGTGAAAGTTTGCTTTGACTAAGCTCATAGGGTTTAGCCCGAGTGGCGAGGGCGGGTGGGGAAATGGATTTAGGATTAGGCTAGGTCAAATGTTCCATTATGTTCCATTGTAACCAAGTAACGAAAATGATGCTTTGCCTAAGCTTTTGGGGTTAGCCCGGGTGGTGAGGGCGGGCGGGGAAATGGATTTAGGATTAGTCTAGGTCAGGCGTTCGTTTCCTTTTCATATTGGAGTTTTTCAAGTTTCGAATTGGTGGAGTAGTGTTGCAATGTTGTGTTGGTTTGAAATTTGAAATCTTTTCAGGAACTCCTATTGTGTGTCACTGAGTTGCTTACTTCCGTTTGCACTGACGGAAACTACATCTGCTGTTGGGTGACTGATGTTCTTCATACTTCTGTTGATGTTTCAGGGACTGCATTTTATCTTTTCCAAAGTGAAAAGACATATGGCTTGATGTGGGCAGTTTAGTTTATAAGGGCACAAAACAGTTTTACTCACAGCTCGTGACTTGTTGGAATCTTTACCTGAAAGGCTTCTCACGGAACTGATCATTGTAAAGTTGCTGGACTAAGCTCTTCCACGTTTTGGTACGCCGTTTGGATTACGTGACCAGACTGAGTAACCCTAGAAATGGGTTCATTTGCTGGTACATCTGAAATTGTGGAAGCGAAAGATGAGCTGACTACAGGTCAATATTCTCATGGAATACATCAGCCGAATTCTGGATTTAGTAAAGGTGACAAAGATTGGAAGCCTCCTCCTGTTCTAAAACTGGGATACAAGGATTCTCTAGAAGATGATATTAATAAGCTCTTCGAGGCAATCAAAACTCCATCCAAGGGTTCAGATCATTCAAAGCAAGTAGGCGCTAGCCCTTTAAATAGAAATGCCTTAAAGAAACCAATTACAGTGGGTGTGTCTCGCTCACTAGGGATTGGTAATTCAGAACCGGCAACACTGAAGCAGGCGTTAAGAGAGCTCTCTATTACCAAGGCATCAGAAATGGCTGCTATGAAACGATTATCAAAATTGACAAGTCCTGCAAGACCCTCGGAAGCTGGGAGGATCAAGACGTTATACAATGCAGTTGTTGTTCAACCCAGTCAATCTGGTGCCTCCTCAAGTGAAGATAGGGGAAATATGGTTGAAATCTCTCTGGTGCCAGAAGAAAGCATTTCAAATTCTTGTGAGGAGTTGTCTGAGCATCCTCAAATGTCCAAGATGAAGTCATCAAGCCAGAGTGGACATTCTTCTCCTCGATTTGCCAATGGGAAAGCAGAAAATAACTCCGGGAGCACAATAGTGCAAAATGAAAGTACCTCCAGTTGCAAGTTAAGGACAGTAGGGGAGCAAACAGTGAAGGCGGAACTGGGACAGAAGAAAAAAAATAAATCTAAAAGTGATCATATTTCAGAACTTGCTGAAAATGTTCCTTCCAGGACCATGTTACAGACAAAAACTAAGACGGAGCTGGTGAAGAAAGAGAAACTTAAATCTACAAGTGGCATTACATCAGTACTTGTTCAAAATGTTCCTGCCAAAACCAAGTTAGCTAATAAGCTATCAGCAGCAAAACCAGGGCGGAAAGTCAAGTTGCATGTAGTACCTTCTTCATCGAGTTCGGTGAATCGAAATCTGGCAAGCAAAGTATCCAGAAATGCCCTCCGCTCTGTAAAAGCAGCCAGCAGGAATAGGAACATCGTAAAGAAGAAGACAAGGCAAGAGTCAAGTTCTGTGGCCTGCAACTCTAGTAATTATAATGAAGTTGATGCTGATTTTGATCCTTGTACCAGTCAGCTGGTCTGCGAGAGATGTCAATGTGCAATACAAGGTGCTGGACAACAATCCAATCAAGGTTCTTTGGCACCCCAGTTTAACGGTCTTACTGCTGAGGTAAACTCAAATAATGTGCACAGCATTCCAGGTAAACCGGGCTTCACTTTCGACAGCAGTAATACTGGCAATAAAGGGGGAGATGACATTATGAAAGCAAAAAAGAACACCAAATCAAAAGAAAAGGGGGAATTCTCCCAAAGCTCAAAAAGTAGCCAAGGTGATCATAGTAGTAGTACGAGTTTGAGTGACGAGAGCAATGTCAGTGGATCTAGTTGCAGCAATAAGCCTCACATGTCGAAGGATGTGAGATGGGAGGCCATCCGTCATGTTCGGTTGCAGCATGGATCCCTGGGCTTGAGACACTTCAATCTTTTGAAGAAGCTTGGTTGTGGAGACATAGGTACTGTATATCTTGCTGAGCTCATTAGTACGAATTGCCTTTTTGCCATAAAGGTAATGGACAATGAGTTCTTGGCTAGAAGGAAGAAGATGCCTAGGGCGCAGACCGAAAGCGAAATACTGAGGATGCTTGATCATCCTTTTCTCCCTACACTGTATACCCAATTTACATCAGATAATTTGTCATGCTTAGTTATGGAGTATTGCCCAGGTGGAGATCTTCATGTCCTCCGGCAGAAGCAAATTGGAAGGTGTTTTTCTGAAGAGGCAACAAGGTAGAAATATTTGAATTAACACCTATATCGGACTTTTACATTTCGTTTTGGATGCTATTTGACATTATCTGCAGTCAAGCATTAGTCACAAGATAATAGTCTAAGAAAATAAAAAAAATACACCTTTGTAACCTCCACCTTCACCAACACTCACCACCCCAACTACGTATATTTTATTTAATGTGTTTTTCCCAGTCAGCTATCACCGTAAGGGATGCCTTCTCTTCTCTGAGAGAAATTGCTACATGACATCATGAATTGTTTTTTGTCCTTAATTTTACGGGTCGTCTCTAAAGAACTTCATTATCTAATTCAGTGGAGTAACTGACCATTAGATTCATGTCCTCTGATCTAGTACTTTTTCGTGTATTAAATAGTTGCTGGAATTTTACCATTACAAAACTAATTTAAATCTTTGTGCCTTCAGGTTCTATGTTGCGGAAGTTCTCCTTGCTTTGGAGTATTTACACATGCTTGGGGTAGTTTATCGGGATTTGAAACCAGAAAACATTCTAGTCCGCGAAGATGGTCACATCATGCTCACAGATTTTGACCTGTCTCTCAGGTGCACTGTCAGTCCAACTCTATTGAAATCACCTTCATGCGATGGTGATCGTGCAAGATTGTCTGGTCCGTGTACACAATCTAGCTGCGCTGAGCCGTTCTGCATTGAACCCTCCTGTCAAGTCTCATGCTTCACCCCTAGGTTTTTACCAGCTGCTGCAAAAACAAAGAAGTCCAAAAATGACCCTGCATCCCATGTTAGATCATTGCCGCAGCTTGTGGCAGAGCCTACTGATGCTCGGTCCAATTCCTTTGTCGGGACCCATGAGTACTTGGCTCCGGAGATCATCAAAGGAGAGGGTCATGGAGCTGCAGTTGATTGGTGGACGTTTGGTATCTTCCTTTACGAGCTTCTATATGGCAGAACACCATTCAAAGGTATTAACAACGAGGAAACATTGGCCAATGTGGTGTTGCAGAGCCTAAGGTTCCCAGAGGGCCCCCTTGTTAGTTTCCAGGCTCGAGATCTCATCAGAGGTCTGTTGGTAAAGGAGCCAGAGAATCGGTTGGGATCAGAGAAAGGGGCCGGTGAGATCAAGCAGCATCCGTTCTTTGAGGGCCTCAATTGGGCACTGATACGATGTGCCATTCCGCCAGAACTGCCCGAGTTTTGCGATTTTGAAATTCCCGACATGCCTGCTGCTCAGGAGAATACCAAGTATTTGGAGTTAACAGCGACGGGAGAGCACCTAGAGTTTGAGTTATTTTAGAGGAAAATCACAAGTTTTAGGAGAAGAAGCTTTCTACTTTGTGTATGTATTATTATCTCTTGAAAGACCTCCTCCTTTCCAATATATAACTCATAAATCTAGCTTATGTATATACTTTTTTAAGCTTTCAGCAATGGCGCATATATCAGATTCCGAAATTTTGTGCATTTTGAAATATCGATGGTCGGATGGTGTATCACGGCTAGGATGGTCCGCGCATGACAGATGCTAGCAACAATCGTCCATGCGCAAAAATCTACTAGAAAGGCAGAGTCTAGGCTGAATCGTCATCCGACCAACCAAGTGAACCCCGAATAAAATCTCAGTTCAACGCAAACCGAATTATATATACTGATCGAAACGCAAATCATTGAATCGTATCGAATTGCAATTCTTCCCCTAATCATTGTTTCGGTGGAAAGAAATTACCATCCGCTAGCTAAAAGAGTTCGAACCTGGCCGGCCTAAAACGGACGTTTATTTCGGTCCTAACTCACCGAAACCTTTTGAATTGTTCAGTGGGGACTGCCGCTGCCGAATTATTCAAGTTGTCGGCGGTGGTGTTTGCGGAACTAGTGTGACTATAAGCCACCTTCATTACGGAAAGGACACTCTGCTTCCATTTTCTAAAGAGAGAGAGAGAGAGAGAGAGAGAGAGAGAGATCACCAAAGCTTTTCGGCATCGGAAAACCAGAAAGCATGGCTTCGACCTCCGACGACGACTTCATCACCGTCGTATGCACAAACCCCAGTCCAATCCAACTAAGCACCACCCCGGATAAAGAAGTTCTAATTTCTGTCGAGAATATCCTATCCTGGGATTTGCCAGCCATTCTCCGTCACCAAACTGTCAGAGTTCAAGCACATCGGAACAGGTGCTGCCTGGCTTCTCATTTTCTCACTCATTTTCCGTTTGTTTCCCGATAAAATTAAATGCGGCAAAATTAATTTTGATTTTGAGTTTTTGAATTCCATCTGTGCTTGCAGGCTTATCCACCACTCTTCGTACTTCCATGGACTCCTAAGTGGCAGCTTTAGGTAATCGATTTCCTTATCCGAAAACTGAATCCGAGCTTAGAACTTTGACTGTAAATTTTGATTTTTTTTTTTAATTAAAAAGCTCTTTAATTTCTTGAATTTGATTGCTTCCGGTTAAAAAATTTGAATTTTTTTTTAGCGAATCGGGCCGGAATGTATAGAAATTGAGTGGAACCTGGAAATATTTCTAAGCATTCTCAATTGTTTATATGACTCCCCATTGCGATTGGAAGTTACATCTGATAATTTCCTCCTTCTTTTTGAGGTAAATAAATTTAACTTTTTACTATGTGCTAGTTTTGATCCAATGGTGTTCTTATCTTTTATTCATTTGGTTATTTGTTTTTGCTTGATCTTAAAATTGTTCAAACTGTTCGACATTGTTGAAGAAAAATTGCATTTCATGACTTGAAGGTTGAGTGTTTATTATTTCCACCTTTCAAATCACATCCAGTGTTTTGTGAAGTTAATATTATTCTTTTGAAAATACTGCGTTGCGTTTGCGTTGCAGGGTGCACTCTATTTTGGAGTGGAGATGCTTCTCGTGAGATGTAAAACTTGGTTTTCTGAGGTAGTGTCGGCGGAGGTTCAACCACAAATACAATTGGATGATTTGATTTCTATTTGGAGCTTCGGTGTAGAGCACGGTGAGAATGATTTGAACCTGAAAATTTAATTTTTTGAAAAACTCATGTTTGAATTTAGCATTGTTATGTTCTCCAGTCTAATGGATGAAATGGAATACATTGCAGCCCTTGATTCTCTTCCAGAATTGTGTGCGAGCTATCTTGCCAGAAATTTTGTATGTTCTCAACTTATATTGAACTTCTGTGCACAATCATTATGTTTTGAAAAGCTTTGTGCTATGCACACACACCCTTTTTACTTCCCACACACCCCTGTTAATGTTTGTCCATTGATCTTCTTCGATTCATACGATCTGACTTTCAAAAATTGAGAAGGTGTGTTAGAAGTAAAAAGGGTGTGTGGATAGCACAACCCTTTGAAAATTCAATCATGCTTCAGTATTAACTCATACATCTTTTTGAAATGGAATTTTTGCTGAAGTGGCTAGTGACGGGTTGTGGATTTATATTGATGTGATGGCTGATGAGTAGAAAATTATGATTAATGTGAGGTAACATTTCAGTTGAATAATCTCTCTTTAGATTGGTTTGGTTTAGTCTTAATATTCATCGTACAGGGTCTAAAATAAAAGAGACGGTTCTGTTTGAGATGGTTATGATATGAGGAGGATATAAGAGTTGAAGGGAGCCCAAAAGGGAGATGGGGAGAGACGAAGAGAATTGACATGATTACTGAAAGGGAAATTTTATTTCAACCCATGTAATCTCTCTCTACGCCCAATTTAAATTGTAAATGAAAATTATCTTTTTTACCCTATCACGTAATTACCATCAAGTACAAGACAAAGTTAACCCTAAAACTAAAATTTATCAATAGACCCACACCTAATATTCAAACCCTACCATACAAATCACCATTTTTACATAACACTATCAATACTGACAGTAAACATTGACAAAAACACTGAAAATGACCTTCAAATCGTGGCCCAGAAAGGGTCTGATCAACTACTAAGAAGTCGAAAGCTGAGCTGATCAACTACTGAGCAAGTCCCAACCAGGCCACTACATAATATACTGGGAGATCAAGGGGAAGTTGACGAGAGAGTTCTTACTGAATGTTGTAGAGAAATGGATGCATCGTTTTTGGATCATTGCTATGTGGTCTCGAGGAGAAGCAATTCGATCCGGCCTCTTGAGCTTTGAATTGTGGAGAAGGGAAATTTCAAGAAAATTTGGGAACAATTCATAAAAAAAATGGGTTTGCAATGAGTCAGTTTAAGACCCCTATATGCACTAGCTACAACGAGCTCTTTGGCATTCTCAATTTATGCACCATTAAGAGGGTTTACAACACTGCTTATGTTAAATAGCGACGTAACTGTATTTGGCAAAAATGCATTTGGCGAGTCAATCACTCACGAATCAGTAAATGTACGTATAGAATTCAAAACCAACACTTCAGATCGATGTTAAATAAAGTTCAACCAAGTCCTGATCGTCATAATTATAATTTTAGGGTTCATGTGGACATGATGTATAAATAGATATACAGATATGCCTTCAATTGAAAAATTAAACTGATCAGTTCTTCAAATTATTAACGTTCAATAAGCAAATAACATATAGAACATTTTCTTATGTACCCAAATTCAAGCTAGTTAGCTATGAGGGGATATTTTTTTTTTCTTCTGTTAAGTCCAATTCAATTTGGGATTTTATTTTATAAATGGGTGTAAAGATAACTTCACATTTTGATTTGGGTTTGAAAGGGTAGTTTAGGTAGTAAACTTGGGTTTAAAGAGATATTAATTCTTTAATTAAAAATAATATGAGTGTAGAGAATAAGTTGGGTGTAGAAAGATGTTACATGGGTTCAAATAAAATTTCCCTTACTGAAAACACCATGACTGTTGATCTAATAGTCTCCTGTCATTCTGAGCATGTGGCACTTTATTGATGATGTGCTCATGAACTCACGGATATATGGCTACTACTCTTGTTTAATCTGAAAAAGATGCTTTGGTATATTTCTTCACGATCAGGTCGTTGCTAATAGTTGAATGGGAGGAGATTGTTTTCACTTAAGTGGCATCAGATCCTAGGGATTCATATGTTAACAGGCTTAGGATTTCTGTGTTTTGTGCAATATTTGTTCACTGTGCCCAACCTATTCACTAATTGAAACTGACAGATTATGCTTTGGTTTTCCAGATGTGGGCCATGTGCATGGATTATTTTGTAGATATTCCTTACGACTTATTACTATCTTGTGTAAAGCACATGGATTTGACAGTCGACAGGTTAGTTATCCTTTGAATAGCCTTGCTTAATTTTCTGTTAGACATATTGGCACTCTGATATCTTACTCTTATTTGTCTGTCACAGCGAGATGTATCTTTCCAATGCACTTTTAGTTTGGCTTGATGCTAACACAGAAAGGATGGATGGCTTGAGCAGAAATGAAGATGTCCACATTGGCATTTTGAAAGAGGTACAGATCAACAATGTTTCATGTATATGTTGAGGACCAAAATGATATATAGCCTTGGAAAGTAGCTTGTTTACCTAGGATCTACTACTGCTGCGAGTTATATCATAAGCAATTATCTTCAACCATGAATGTGACTCCATATCAGTTTTTGAAAAACATCAACATGTTAGGTACAATAAACTTGACAGCCAATCCATAGCCTGCATAGTTTTAACTGGATAATAGGAAGGAAATGTCGTAACTTTCTGATGAAAGTCACCAAAGAGTGAGTTACCTAATAATCATAACAAATTGCCCCATCGAGCAAACTTTCAGTTTCATTTAAAGGCAGTTAGCACTAATTGTTACTTGGATGAAACTTTTCCCAATATGCCTCATAATATAATGGGGACAATGTGGCATAATGTTATGTTCACAAGTTTGTGGAAATAGGTACGATAAGGGTAAACTATAGATCTAAAGACATGAAGGGTAATTACAGGTCTGTAATTAGAAATTATTGAACCATGTAGAGGGATTATTTACTTTGTGAGTTGTGATATATCGTATTATAAAAGTTCATTACTTGTGCTACCAATTGATCCCTCATATTCTTGAAAATAAATATGTAGGGGATTTTAGCAGTGTTGTAATTGCCCTTGATGTAGTTAAGCTGTAAATTTTACATCATCTGTCTTTGTCTTTGTATATTTTCTGTATATATATTTTTTTTGAAGTTTATATGATAAGTATAAAACTTAGTAAAATAGTGATTTAGTTCTCCTTAGTCATTCAGTAGCATTAAATCTGAATTTTCTGAGTTTAGGTATTCATAAAGCCGAAACCTGAAATACTACCATTCAGTACTTATCTGCCAAAATCTTTAGTAAACTGCAATCTTTGTATTAAATCATCTATTGGTTGCTGTTGAACAGATCCGTGTGCGCCTTTTGCCATTGTGGTTTGCTGCAGGTATGCTTAATTTCTGATAGTAGATAAAGGGCACCAATACATACTCATTTTTTTCCT